GCATCAGAGGAATAAATTAAATGTTAAAATACATTCAAATAGAAAACCCTTATTTCACAATATCACTGTTTTGACTGTATTTTTCATCAAATAGATTCAGCCTTGGTGAGTGGAAGAGACTTCTTTCATTAACATTAGTCTTGTATGTACCCTATATATTTATAACAGCATTGAGGAATGCCAGACATGTGTTAGCTTCTTTCTCGCTATCTGGTCCAACTCTTGCATTACAAGAAAAAGAAAAACTTAATATTTTGTACTGAAGTAGTTCATATATAGGTCCACAAAACTAATTTCATGCATTTCAGCCTTTAGAACATAAGGTCTAAGAGATCATGAGAAACATCATTCAGTCAGGTGTGTTTTGGCAAGTACTATATGACAATGAAGACAAAATTTTATGTTTTATATAAAAAATAGTGCTGGGCAATGACTAAATTTTTTTTTTATATTGCGATTAATCGCGTGATTGTCTGCGATTAATCGCATTATGCATAAAATTCAATAATGCATTCAAAAGTAGTGTATTGTGCACTTTTTTCAAAAGTAGTGCTTAAAAGTACTGCTATATGAACAAAAGTGCAATAACATTTGATTTGCAAACACTTTAAACAAATAAGGTGCTTTTTTTTTACAGCAGTATTCCTTTTACATAGTAGCAGTTCAAATATTTCTTGTGAATCTCAACTTATAACATTAATGTAATCAAATTAAATATAAAACAAGCTATTTGCCACTGCCAGTGCATTAACGTTTTTATAGAAAATATTTTATAGTTATAGAAAAACAAGTTATGCTCAGAGTCCAGAGCCTCCATCATAACATTAAAATAGGCACCTTAGAGACCTGCACTATCGCGGGACCCAACGCAACAGAGTGTGGCGCCGGACAACACTTGATGGGCGAGTGCGGGCGGGTAGAGACTCGTGTGTGCGGGATGCGGGAGAATAAGTGTGTACCCACACTAGGCAATCTTAACCGTGCCCGAGCGCGTTTGACCCCCAAAGCCTGGTTCGTTTTACTAGTGGGACCGCTCCGTGCCGTGCATAAAAATAAAAACTGCTTTAATGTACGATAAAATAATTGTCGGCGTTAATCAATTAATGCGTTAACGCGATAATAACGCGATTTATAACAGCATTGAGGAATGCCAGACATGTGTTAGCTTCTTTCTCGCTATCTGGTCCAACTCTTGCATTACAAGAAAAAGAAAAACTTAATATTTTGTACTGAAGTAGTTCATATATAGGTCCACAAAACTAATTTCATGCATTTCAGCCTTTAGAACATAAGGTCTAAGAGATCATGAGAAACATCATTCAGTCAGGTGTGTTTTGGCAAGTACTATATGACAATGAAGACAAAATTTTATGTTTTATATAAAAAATAGTGCTGGGCAATGACTAAATTTTTTTTTTATATTGCGATTAATCGCGTGATTGTCTGCGATTAATCGCATTATGCATAAAATTCAATAATGCATTCAAAAGTAGTGTATTGTGCACTTTTTTTCAAAAGTAGTGCTTAAAAGTACTGCTATATGAACAAAAGTGCAATAACATTTGATTTGCAAACACTTTAAACAAATAAGGTGCTTTTTTTTTACAGCAGTATTCCTTTTACATAGTAGCAGTTCAAATATTTCTTGTGAATCTCAACTTATAACATTAATGTAATCAAATTAAATATAAAACAAGCTATTTGCCACTGCCAGTGCATTAACGTTTTTATAGAAAATATTTTATAGTTATAGAAAAACAAGTTATGCTCAGAGTCCAGAGCCTCCATCATAACATTAAAATAGGCACCTTAGAGACCTGCACTATCGCGGGACCCAACGCAACAGAGTGTGGCGCCGGACAACACTTGATGGGCGAGTGCGGGCGGGTAGAGACTCGTGTGTGCGGGATGCGGGAGAATAAGTGTGTACCCACACTAGGCAATCTTAACCGTGCCCGAGCGCGTTTGACCCCCAAAGCCTGGTTCGTTTTACTAGTGGGACCGCTCCGTGCCGTGCATAAAAATAAAAACTGCTTTAATGTACGATAAAATAATTGTCGGCGTTAATCAATTAATGCGTTAACGCGATAATAACGCGTTAACTTGCCCAGCACTAATAAAAAATAGATACATGAAATGCATATTATACAGTAAGGGATGAATTGAGCTTACTAACCTGTTGTAGTTCCTGAATTTACTTAGAAAAGTGGTTGATTAAAAGTTGTAGTCTTTAAATGCTAAATATGTACAAGTTACGCTGAACCAATTAAAAGGAACACTCCACTATTTTTGAAAATAGGCTCATTTTCCAACTCCCCTAGAGTTAAACAGTTGAGTTTTACCGTTTTCGAATCCATTCAGCCGATCTCCGTGTCTGGCTGGAGCTCTTTTAACTGTAGCTTAGCATAGATCATTGAATCTGATTAGACCGTTAGCATCTCGATCAAAAATTACCAAAGAGTTTCTATATTTTTCCTGTTTAAAACTTGACTCTTCTGTAGTTACATCGTGTACTAAGACCAACGGAAAATGAAAAGTTGGGTGCAGCAGGCGCAATGATATTACGCAGCACCTGAAAATATGCTAAGTTCCGTCAACATAACCAACGTGACCACCTGCTTGCACAAGGAGCGTGCTGGGGACTATTTTCAGGCACTGCGTAATATCAGTGTGCCTGCTGCACCAATGGTACAGCAGCAAAGTTCCTTGATTATTACGCCGGAATGAGAGTATAGTTCCTAGCCATATCGGCCTAGAAAATCACAGCTTTTCATTTTCTGTTGGTCTTAGTACACGATGTAACTACAGAAGAGTCAAGTTTTAAATAGGAAAAATATAGAAACTCTTTGGTCATTTTTGAGCGAGATGCTAACGGTCTAATCAGATTCAATGATCTATGCTAAGCTACAGCTAAAAGTGCTACCGCCAGACCCGGAGATCGGCTGAATGGATTCGAAAACGGTAAAACTCAACTGTTTAACTCTAGGGGAGTTGGAAAATTAGCCTACTTTCAAAAATAGTGGAGTGTTCCTTTAAGGTTTAACTCAGACTAAAGGGATGTTTGACCCAAAAATCAGTTACTCACCCTCATGTGTCTCCAAACCTGTATGACTTTCTCCCATGGAACACAAAAGAGGATATTTTGAAGAATGTTTTGAGGAAGCCCAGTGACTTCCATTGTATGCACAAAAAGAACACATTTCTCACAGTATCGTCTTTGATGTTCCACCGGAGAAAGAAAGTCATACGGTCTTGGAGCGACATGAGAGTAAATGAGTAAAATAAGCATCTTCCCTCAGCTAGAATCTTATCCATTTTAGATTAATATCACCTGTTTTTGGGATTAGTCAAGATGAGGACAAGACAAGGCTTGTGAACATTTCTTAGAAGTTCAGTTCAGTATTTCCTTGAAAGGAATGATAAAAAGCTCATAGATAATTCAGCAATGCTCTGGGCTTATGATAACATGTCAAAACATGTTCCCCTTACACATTACAGCATCGTGTGATGGCTCGAAGTGCAATCTGAATGAGAGAAATCAAATGGTTGAAGAATTGTTAACATTAAAAACACAGATGTTTTGACAGTTTCACTTCTGGAATATCTATCTTAAGGCTGGAATACACTACATGTTGAAACCGATTTTAAAACACTAGGCATCATACACTTGTTGATTTTGTAAATGGTTACAGAGAAATACTGGGCATCATACGGGAATCTAAATGACTGAGGATTACACACTGCCAGACTTTCAAGTTTTTTCTGGGAAATTTGTCAACTCCAACTAATCAAAATCTGCAGACTGGCTCTAAACATCTGAAACTAGCATCGACTCGGCCAGACTGCAAAATCTGGGCAAATCTGTTGTGTATTGCAGGCTTTAAGCTGGTCACTGTGTTTTTGGAACATGGTGGTTTTCTGGAATAGCTGATATGTGGCTTCTGTTCTGTAGGCCAAAGATGGAGGATATGAGAATGAGAGTTTCTACATCAATGTGGAACTGAACTTTCTGGAGATCCCCAACATACACGTGATGAGAGAATCCCTGAGGAAACTGAAGGAGGTGGTGTATCCTGCCATCGACCAACAGCGCTGGTTCTCATCTGTGGACTCTACGCACTGGCTGGAATACATCAGGGTGAGAATATGTGACTGTTAGTTTTGAAGTCAGGATCGAAATTGGACGCCATCAGATGGTCATTATACCCTGACATTAATTCTCATGAAGTTTCGTTGATGTTTCTGTTCTGTCTTCTCTTTTTTTAAATATTCTTTTGCTTAACATTTACAAGTAAACCATACGTTAGCTGAATCTATTGAACTGTCAAATCAAAAATCTTCTTAAAGAAAGAAGTTAAGAAATTTTAAGAATAAGAAGTCTTCATCTGAACAGATTTGGAGAAATTTAGCATTAGATCACTTGCTCACCAATGGATCCTCTGCAGTGAATGGGTGCCGTCAGAATGAGAGTTCAAACAGCTTATGAAAACTTCACAATAATGCACATGATTTCAGTGCATCAATTAACATCTTGAGAAGTGAAAAGTTGCATATTTGCAATAAAAAAATCCAATATTATGACATTTTTAACTGAAGGCCATTGCTAAAGTACAAGTCCTCTATTCACATTCCCTCTTTTTCACATGCCCTTGCATAATCTGTATGTATGCGTGTATATATACACATACACACACACATATATATATATATATTATTCACTTGTTTTTTTTATTATTATTATCAAAATATTCTTTTTTTTTTATTTTTTTTTTTTAGTTTAGAAAATAAGAAATATAACTGCAAGCAGCAATTTCCGGGGTTCAAGCACTATAAGACATTTAGGCACATATGAAAAAAGACATTGTGTATTATCGAACAAGCCTGTAACCAGCTAAATCAATTATTAAAAACAGCATTTTTGGCAATTGCAGGTAATTTACCAAGGAAATATGATGTTTATTAAGATTTATGGCTGTTATAGCACCATCTGTGCTCCGATCTCCAAGCTTGTTTAGAGTCATCTGTCGAATGTGCTCACCTAGTTTTGTGATGTTTTGAGTTTTTGTTCAGGATTTATTGGCTTTTGGGTATATTTAGCCATGCCCTTTTTGTAAATGACACTGTTATAGCTAACCAAAGTGTAAAGTCCAACTTTTTTTGATAATTATTGACCTGGAGAGTCCAGAGAATTGTGCTGCAGTGGTTTTGTTGATATTGGGCGAAAAACCTAGGACTACTTTGCAAAAGTAGGTTTTTGAAATAATCTTGAATAATTATTGTATGTTTTGATTGACCGTAGTGTTTCTTGAGGCAAAGTTGTTCAGTATGAGGAGATCCATCATGATGATATGAATATTGTGTTTATGGGTGAATATTGTGTTTATGGGTGAAACACCACATGATTAGAGAGGTGTAAAACTCATTTGCGTCACCTAATGGCCGATTGCTTTCAAAATTCTTACAGACCTTTAGGGCCATGAGTTGAACATACCCACCAAGTTTCATCCAATTGGCCTCTGTTAACCTTGTCTAATAGGAGCTCAAAATTCATTGGCTGATGGTGGCCATGTTTTTTAAATACGTGAATGTCCTCATATACATTTGTGGCAATTTGGACAAAGACACTGCATACCAATTTTGAAGTCAATCGGACTAACGGTTGTGTAGTTATAGCCGTTTTTATGTTTTTTCCCTGTTATTGCGCCACCAAGTGGCCAAACGCAGCATTTATTTTGTTTTTGTTTGTTTTTTGTTTTTTTACTGTGACCTCAGATTGAGCTCTTACATAAGTGTTCAGAGTTTGGTGAAAATATCTCTTTCCATTCAAGAGTTTTAGTAAAAGTGGCTCCGCAAAGTGGCTACAAACATTTTGCCGTCCCGTCGTGATGGTGAGTCAAAAGTTCATTCTTTTTTTTTTGTGATTAATTATATTGATATTCACACTCCAGAGAATCTTTTTTGCATTGGCTTGGTTCTGATCGAGTGAAAAACCTAGTTCACAAAAGTAGGTTTTTCAAAAATTCTAAAATACCTGAAATTTCCGGTAACGATCAAATCCGATCAGCATGCATTTTGTCCGTCGTTAGCCAAGGATTCCAATGATACAGACACTTGAGCCTGCAACTCAAAACGGTTTAGGAGTTATGAGCGATTTCTTACGTTTGATCACTGTAGCGCCACCGTCAGGCCGATTGGGACAAGCCTTGGTGACATTGTAGATGGTGTGAGTACTACTATCCCTCTATGACTTGCGTTTGGTCTGCTCGATCACTTTTAGGGGAGAATGATGATTTTTGGACATTTTAAAAAATACAATAAGGTTTCTGCGCTTGAAGCACTAAAAACAGTTAATTTTATTTACACAGTACATGTTTTTGCATTCCACTCCACTGGTGTTCCATTATTTTCTATGTAAACATGCGCTAGACAGAAATGTTTGGCCTTTGTCATTCTAAAAACTCAGCGCTCAAGTTAAAAGAAGTAGGCTGGATTTCTGACAATTTTATGACAACTTTAAGCTTTTTACAATGATCTTTAAGATGATTTGAATTCTTCTTAAGTTTTGAGAATCTTAAGAACAATCTTAAGAAAAAATATATTTTTTATATTTTATTTATTTGTGTATACTTATAAGTATTTTTTGAATACATGGTTTTCCAGTGCAGTCAAAAAATGCTTACATTGGACTGGATTTAAATGCCATTGGATACCTCACACTATATATATATATATATATATATATATATATATTAATAATAATAAAAATAATACATTTCTAAGCATTTCTTAAAGGTACAACACTCGGTCATTTTCTCTGTAGCTCTTGCTAGCAGGTGCGGTGCGCATCGCAGACCGAATCGAGTCTGGTAAGACGTCAGTGGTGGTGCACTGCAGCGATGGCTGGGACCGCACGGCTCAGCTCACCTCTCTGGCCATGCTCATGCTGGACGCACACTACCGCTCGCTCAGGGGCTTCCAGGTGCTTCTGGAGAAGGAGTGGCTGAGCTTCGGACACCGCTTTGCCTCAGTCAGTAACATCATGTGTATATGGAAAAAAACATTCTGCACTGAACGTGTGCAGTACTAGCACCTTACGGCTTTCTTCTTGTCCTTCTGTCTGTTAGCGTGTGGGACATGGAGATGGGAATCATGCAAACTCTGAGCGCTCGCCTCTCTTTGTGCAGTTCATCGACTGTGTCTGGCAAATGACCCGGCAGGTGAGGAACAGTGGAGCTGAGAAAAAAAGTATGATGTTGTATTATTGTACGGTTTCTCTTTTTCTCTTCATAGTTTCCCTCTGCGTTTGAATTCAACGAGCTATTTCTCATCACGGTGCTTGATCACCTGTACAGCTGCCTGTTCGGGACGTTTCTTTACAACAGCGAGCAAGAACGAGTCTCGAAGGCAAGAACTAATGCATGCAACTGTTACTTGGTTTTGAAAGTCATTCTGTCATGATTTAATCACCCTAACATCATACAGTTCTGATTTTGCAGGAGGTGTACAGCAAGACCGTGTCTCTGTGGTCATATGTGAACAGCCAGCTTGAGGAATTTACCAACCCGCTGTATGTGAACTACGAGCACCATGTTTTATACCCAGTAGCCAGTTTGAGACATTTAGAGCTTTGGGTCAGTTATTATGTGCGCTGGAACCCTCGCATGAGGCCACAGGTGAGCAGAGGATGATGTTTGATGGCACAGTGTATAATAACTACTTATTCCACATGTGCTACAGTGGTTGTAGGTGAAAAATATGTTTTGTGGAGTTCTGTTAACAGTTCAAAACAGTTAAGATTCTGAGTTGATTTGTATTTTAAGTCGCGTTAAGTAAAATCTGCATTTACTTAAAATGTTATTTTATTTAATATATGGCAAAACTCATCTTTTTAACCATTTATTTTAGAAAATATGTATTATATGGTTTATGTGGTTTTAATTACCATAAATAGGAATCCCTAAAGGGTACTATTTTACTTTTATATGAAGATGTATACAACTTTTTTTTATTTATATTCTATATTATATTAAGTCTAAAATGTTGTATGTTTTTCCATTTTTATTGGGATGAAGTTCACAGTTTTGTGGTCAATGACTTTTGAACTATATATATATATATATATATAAGTATTCATTAAAAATGAATGTCAATAAATTAATAAAATGTTTATTTAGTACAATAATTTGTATTTAGATATAACTTTCTAAAATTGTATTTAAAAAAAACTGTATTAGCCATTTAATTTTGATGTGTTTGTCAATGCAGTTGGACATGCCATTAGATTCTTCACACTTGGATACTTTAAACTTGGTTGCTCAGCTAAGATGAATTTAATTGGATAAAGAAAAAAAGAAAAATGCTATTTAAATGATGCATTTAAAAATGATTCACCAATGTATTTTCACATTTAAAAGTTGTATATATTTATTTATATATACATTTTATTTTGTTGTTTTTATTTAGCAACCTTTACTTTTTATTTTTATGAATTGTATTGTGTTATTTTTATTTTATCTTGCAATTTAGTTGTGCATACCTCACATTCATTGACACTAAAGGCTCTCTTTGTCCCTGTCTCTGTCTGTCAGGTTCCTGTTCATCAGAGTCTGAAGGAGTTGTTGGTCCTGAAGTCGGAGTTGCAGATGAGAGTGGATGAGTTAAAACGAGAAGCAGCTTCATCACAATCTATCTCCTCTTCCTCAGAGCATGAAGGAATGCCCATGCAGACTACTGTCTGAGCATATCTTATTAACTTGGTAAATACTGGTGTCAAAAATCATTATATTTGTTCCAATCTCTGTTGTCACAGTTGAATAATAACAATATTTGAATATGTTTGATAAGATCCTAGTGTAATTCTTGGAATAATAACCACTGTGTGGTCATTGGTGCCCCCTAAAGGGAGAGGGTGCTCGCTGCAGAGCCAAATGGGAGGAGCTGGAGCTCTAGCTCCCCCTCGCTGGATGTAATGGGTGGAGCTAGACACCCAACCACTCCCTAACCCTACCCCTTACCCTATTGCTAAACATAACTCCACCCATTAGTTCACACAGAGGTGGAGCTGGACATCCAGAGAGGGGGAGCTGGAGGTCATTTGGCTCTGCAGTGAGCAGTACTTGCCTAAAGGCCATAAAACCAGTGGCTAAATCACAGAGCACTACAGTTCAACAGACATCCTCCATGAGTTTTCTGTGTGTTAAATTGTGTTTAAGGTATTTAGATTTTTATCACATATTGTTTACAATTGAAAAAGAATGCACTTTTGGTGATTGGTTTGAACATCTTGAGTTTCACCGATTCCAAGACAACAGAGCATTTTTTTGGTCAAATCTTGTTAGCAACAATAAAATGTTATCCAGAACTAAACAGTCGCTCTACAGAAAATGCCTGAATGTTCCAGTGGCTTTGGCAAAAATGTTCTTGCTCTTATAATGCATATAAGAAGTACTCCTCGACACTAATTGAAATGTAACAATTCAAAATCACGCGTAATGTAAAATGTGTGCATAGATTTGCTCTGTGGTTGTGAGTGACATATTTGTGTACATAAACCGCCACCTTAAACTGTTATTATTTAAAATGTGCTTCAGTATTACTATGACATTATAAGGTTTACTAAAAGTTGCCTAATGCGTACATATTTTATTTTCGGAATGTGTTTGTGATATCCATTTTTTATTTTATAGTAACTTTATATTAAGTTTCTAATTTCTTATAAGCTTAAATTTGCAATCATTGAAATTGAAAAACGACATTTTGTAGAATAAAGAATAAAAAATATCTTACATCTTGTGTGTTGTTTCCTGCTTTTGGTAATCCATAATATCTCATTTATGATTTTTTTCATCTGCAAATTTGCTGTTGATTAGACAAAATATGATATCATTATAAATAAAACGGGTTCAAAGTACATGTAAATGTAATTTAAGCCAAATATTTATAATAAAACAAATAAATCGTGTTACTCTTACTAAATTTAATATTGAAAACAAAAACCATATCCATGTATGTCCTTGACACAGTGTTGTGGACAAGGCTTTTAACACAATATTTTATATTACCATCTCTATCTAGGCCGTCCTCGTTTTCATGTGGCAGCCAAACTACCCTATTTTCTTCTACTCCACTCAGTTTTCTCACGCCCTAAACATTGTACAACATACAGTTCCTCTGTATAGTGCACTGTAGTTCACGCTCACACGTGGGTTGCCACAGATCTTTTTAACTTCTGTTATGACAGCAATTCCCGCCTTTTTTTTTAAATAATGGGTGTGGTTTAGGCTTCTATCCAATGGCGGCAAGCTGATTATGAATATGTATGATCTCTTAGCCAATCCACAGTTGTGGAGGCTGTTTTAAATGCGTGCCGGGACCGACCAATCAGGCAGCTCTCGTAGTGAGCTAGCGCGAGGCTGTGTGGTCTTCTATAGAGACGAAGCGCGAGGCCGTTAGTGTGGCTGAGGAGAGCAGACGACAGGACGAACAGTATCAGACGGTATCTATAAAACACTCCATTTTAAAATGGTCACTGGGGCCTAATATTCTCTTTAAAGTCTTATTCTAATTATTTAAAGCCTGTTTTGGGGCGTAAACCATTTTATAACTAACTAACCGTGTTTTCCTTTTTAAAAACTCATTTACAGTGAAATGTTAAAGGTGCTTTGTATTTATTTAGTTCTAAACTATGTTGCTTTCATTTACAGTCAAGAAAAGCTACAATTTGTGTCTGTTAAGCCGAAGTTGAGTGACGAACGTGCTTTTTAAAATGGCTGGCGATGTAAAAAATATGCCTCAAAAATCACGGGGTGCTAAATGGCCTGAAAAGCTGTTGTGAAGTAACGCAGTGTGTCGTCGCTGTGTTCTATATGCTGTGTAATAGTTTCATGTCGTTGTATGTTTTCTGGTTCTGGAGAGCATCGAGCTGTTAAAGCGCTGTTGACAGCCAGTGCCAGTCATGGCTGGTTTGCCTCTGCCTTTGTTATAAACGGGTTTGTGCCGGGCGCGAATTAGCGAATCCTACTATGGGGAAGGTTTGGCTCATGAATATTAATTGATTCTCTGACGTTGCTGCGTTAAATTCGTACAGCGCATCTTTGAATGTATCCAACGAACGCCTTCTTTATAGTATGAATCGTTAATTCGCCAGCTCATTAAATACGTCTACTTGGCAACCAATCAGGCAGCCGCGCGGGGCGTTCGTCACGGCGCGTAATTAATATTCATGTCGCAAGCCTTCACGATAGTAGGATTCGTGATTTTTAGTGTGCAGAACTGGTAAAACTTTGCAAAAGCTGGCTTCGCGGCTCACTGCATTTAATGAACGACTTTTAAAATGGCTTGCCTAGCAGCCTTTAGAAGTCGACAAGTCCTCGAAGTGTCTGCCGTGAAAACTGTGATGTGCAAGTCATTGTTCCCCGCCGCTGATAGAGGCCATTTTAATGAATGGATTCTGATTGAAGAGACACATTCTCTTCGCACATTACTTGCGTTTAAATTTGATCTTATTTTGGAAATAATCACTAACTTGCAGCTTTACGGTAAAAAAAATTTTTTTAGTTACTGTCATCATTTTGCACTTCACAACATGGCATATATATATAAAAAAAACCGTGTTTGAAGGCACCTCGGACGATGTGCAGAACAGGCGCGATACATTGAAACAAACGGGGTTCCCGAAGTTAAAATCCTATTAACTTATTTTTAAGATAACTTAAGTCTTTAAAGACAGGCCTGCTTTAAAAATAGGCACGAGGTTCGTAATTGATGCTATATGCTTCAGTTGAAGCCATAAGCCTGCATGAATTAAACTTTTGTTTTAACCGCAGAACTGCTTGTGGAAAAACTTCATCGCCCATAATTCTGTAAAAATTTCCACAAATCAAAGAATTGAAACCGTTTGCACCAAAATAACTCTTTAGCGCCTGTCCACTCCCATGAACCACTGCAAATGGCATAAGCGTGTATATATATTAGTGCAATAAATGTGATGTATCGTTAGTCACACAGTCTTGTAACGGTCTTTTTATCTTATTTTCAAATATTTTTACTCCAAATGTATGAAAAAATGCATATTTTTTGCAGTCAAACTGTGGCACCCAATCATTTTGGGTCCTCTAAGTCAGTGTTTCCCAACCTTTTTTTTTTTTTTTTAGTTGCGGCACCCTTTGGAAATTAACAAACTTGTGGCACCCTACAAAATTAATTTTGTCAGAATATTTGAATTTCTAACTTCGATATGATCATTTGAAAAGTATAGATATTCGGTACAACAGGGAAGAACTGCAGAATATAATGTCATACAGATATTTTTTGTATTTAAAAAAAAAAAATTGTCCATCAATGGTGGCAATCAGTAGGCTAATTTCTAATGAAGAGACCAATTTATATGACAGATTTTAATGTAGGCTTTTATACATATGTAAACATTATTTAATTACCATTATAACTAGCTATCTCACAAATTTTTGCTCACTCAGTGTTTTTTTATTTTACAGTGGGGTAATTTTGGTGCAGTTGCACGAAATAGCTTGATTTCAAACTTTGAATTGAATAAAAAATGACAAGTAAGCAGTCAGTAAATAAATAAGAACAAATAAAGAAATTAATAATAGCACAAATAAAAAATAACGACAGGCCTTCGAATTAAATCAATTGCTTTTTAGTTTTTCAGGTAGGTCTAACAGTAGGGTTAAGATATGTAACTTTTTTCCTTTTTTTTTTTAATTTAATTTTTATTTCAATTATCCAAGTAATGTTTAGTCCTAGAAAGCTAATATTATCAGAGCACGCGAGCATAACATAGCGGTTAGCAGATCAATGAATGAGAGGGCAGCGTTACCAGAGTTGCCCATATACCACACCATGTTACAACACAGTAGGGCTGTTGCAGACAATACTGTACTACATTGATGTTTCCTGTTGGCTCAATTTCTGAGTGGACTTTGCTGTTCTGATTCGCATGAACGGTATACGAGTGGAGCGACTGAGCGGAGCGCACACGTATAGAGCAGGATAATACACAGAGCATCACACCACGTGAAAGTGAAACCTGAGCGGTGAACTAATTTTCGGCAGCCGAAATTTCGGTGCATCTCATTATTGGCAACATCAGAAATGGATATTATATAGATGCTTTTTTTTTTTTTTTTTTTTTTTACATTTTAGCAATTTAAAAATATTTTAAAAAAAATGTTACACTGCACCCCTGCTCTCGACAGACGGCACCCCGGTTGGGAAACACTGCTCTAAGTAATAAACATTTGTTTTAGTTTATTAAATTGTCTGTATTTCTAGGTGTAGTGAAAGTTGAGTGGCTTTGTAAAAATGGCAAAGGGTGATCCAGGAAAGCCCAAGGGCAAGATGTCCTCCTATGCTTATTTTGTGAAGACGTGTCGTGAAGAGCACAACAAGAAGAACCCTGGTGTCACGGTTAACTTCTCAGAATTTTCCAAGAAGTGCTCTGAAAGATGGAAAGTAAGTAGAATATAAAGATAATAGAATATAAAGTCAATGAAAACGAATTAAAAAGTCTGCAGGTAGCAGCTTAAAGAAACTGTCATTTGTTTCAGACTATGTCACCAAAAGAGAAGACTAAATTTGATGACTTGGCCAAGCAGGACAAAGTCCGTTATGACCAGGAAATGATGAACTTCAATCCAGGAAAGAAAGGTCAGAAGCAGAAGAAGGACCCTAATGCTCCAAGGCGGCCACCGTATGTGCTCTTTCCTTTTACAGGACCTATTTCTAGAGCTTATTTCCGTGATTCTGGATGGAATATATGCCCTTATTTGGTTTAGTTACTTAAATGTTTGTCTTTTTTTTTCCTTTTCCCAGGTCTGGATTTTTCCTGTTCTGTGCAGAAGAAAGGCCCAGCATAAAGGCTCAGAACCCCGGTCTGGGCATTGGCGATATAGCCAAGAAGCTGGGAGAGATGTGGAACAATCTGTCTGATTCCGAGAAGCAGCCCTTCCTGTCCAAGGCCAACAAACTGAAGGACAAGTATCAGAAGGTGGAGCATGACCTCTCTAAAAATGCTGTTCATTATTCAGTGTGGATAGTGTTTGAAGAACAAATGAGAAATTGATTTCTGAAGGGTCCTGTGGCACTGAAGACTGGAGTAATGGCTGCTGAAAATTCTGCTTTGCCATCACAGGAATAAATTGCATTTTAAAATGTATTCAAATAGAAACAATTTTAAATTGTTGTAATACTTTACAATATTACTGGTTTACTGTGTTTATTCAGTG